ATATATATGTTATTTTTATTCAATGAATCAAAATCTTTTTTATGACTTCCTGCTTCACTGAGCTGTTTGATAAGCAGAACAGCATTAATACGTCTGCATGCAACCTGGTGGTTCTTATACTCGTATTGGACCAGCTTCATCTGGACAGATGGGGGTTAAACATCACCCTCTGCAAAATCTCATCTACTCAATATAACTGAACCAGAAGCATGTGGTGTCAGCTAAATTAGATTTTATATCAGAACTGAAAAACCACAAAAAAGCTGCTTGCTTATATTTGTATTTTATTACAAGGGATACTAAAGTTAATATTTGATGCTTTAGCTGTCAGATGTTTTTATTTACCTGGGAAAAAAAACAGATGGAGAAAAAAAACAGAAATGTGTTTTATTACTATTTTAGTATTCTTATTTTACCTGTTGTGTTTTCTTAGCTCTCAGGTTTAATAGCTGTGTTTAGCTAATTATCTATTGACATTAACATCATGGATTTATTTTCAAAACAAAAGCAGTAAAGCATCCCTGTGGGCACATTTTGGTTTGAAGCCAAATAGAAAAAGCCAGCTCTATAATTAGGAGGAGGTAATTTGAATGACTTACAACGAAAACGATGACGATCGAAGGTGCTAAATTCACCAGTCTGACACAAGTAGTTKCATAAAACAAAACCATAACTGTTCTGTTTGGGAGGTGTTTTTATTTTATTACAGCTCAACTTTTGGTACACGWACTGTGTGACTCTTCAAGGTTTGCTCAAACAAAAGCCAACAAGTGTGTGTGAAAATACACAGAACTGCTGTGAGAGCGCTTTAATCTCAGACCTTGTTGAAGTCCTCAGCTGTAGCTCTCATCTCCTTCCAGGTTTTATTGAGCAGCTGAATGCAAACGCAGAAGAACTCCTCCCAGGCTCGGTCATGGGTGAAGAACATGGGGTGATAATCGTTGCAGCCTTCATTCGCTAAAGACAAGAAAACATTTTTGTTTYGGAACTAGAACATAAAAATGCACGGGTATATTGGCTGATGTTTAACTTGTTGACTGCCATCTGCAAATCTTCAAACAGGAAAACAGAAACTGATGGTAGAGGGGGTCATCTTATTGAGCTTAGGATTGGTTTGAAAAGCGAAACAAAATTGAACTAATTTTTTTTCGCCAACTTAACTTATGTAAAATATTAAATAAAAGTTTTTTTAATGACCTCATGTATGATTGTATGCATGGTCTCATGCAATAATGTGAGATTTTACGGGATTTGTTAGCACTTAACGAAAGTACTAAATATGTCATTAAGCTCCTACCACAATCACAAGCTTTAGTTCAGCATCTGTAAATTGTTTGTGAAAGGATATATTATTGAAAATATCAAGAATGTGGTGATGTGTGTTATAAGATTTTTAGAGGCAAAGAAAATAACTGATATTATTTTAGCGGGAGTTAAGTCCATTAATAATTGATAAAGTTAATGCAAATGCTAAACAGCTCATTAGTGGGTTAACAGATGAGTGGAACTGTGCCCACCACTGGATTAAGTAATAACCGTTTTTGTTTCATTAAGCTCCATTAGCTGTGACGGTCAAATTGAATGATGCTGACTCCAAAAACTGTAAGAACATTCAATGGTTTATTTCTGAGTATTTTAAACATAGTCCATCTAATAAATGTATTAAATTTAGACACACACACACACACACGCAGACATGAGCAAAAAACACCTTTGGCAGTGAGTGATAATGACAAAATTTGACAGTTTTACGTATGGGGTTTGAAACAAATCATTGGTTTTAATTTGTTTTTTACCAAATCTGCCAAAAAATATTTGGAAATAATACCTGAAGACACCTTCAACATCCTGCTTTTGAAAAGACTCTTAATAATAATAATAATAATAATAATAATAATAATAATAGCATAGCAGCTAGAAATACAAATCTACTCACGGAGTTCTCCAACCTGGAGTATCTCACACAGCATTCGGGTCAGCTGGATGGCACAGCGGCCAAAGGGACACTCGTGTTTATCCTCCCGGCTGCTGTTTTCCAGGACGATCTGTCATGATTGAAGGGACATGTTAGATTTGTCTGACTTTTTAAAAAAATTCATCAAGAGAACCAAGYTGTGTCTGCGGCCAACACTAACTCTGATGTAGGTGTCCTGATGAACTCTGGCCAGATACAGCATGTTATCCAGAGCCAGCATCCCAGGAGGAGTCTGGGTAAAATCCATAGCGGGGTTCACATGGTTCTGYGTTTGAAGCCAAGAGAGAGAAGAAAAAAGACAACATTTAACTTCTTTTTTCATGATTCTAATTAAACTATTAAAGCTAAATCTGTTGCTCACAGTGAACCCCAGCATCTTGTAATCCTTGGTGTACATGGCTTTCCTCTTCTCTGTACCAGTGGGATCACTTTCTCCATCAAAGGCAATCCGACGCAGCTCAAAAATGATGTCCCTCTGAGCCTGTAAACGAAAACCAATTTAAACAGCTGATCAGCATACAGACAGAAACATTTAACACAAAAGCACCAAAATAATAAAGGAAGCAATAAAACAGATAGACCAATCAGAAATGAGCAGATGGCTTTCGCTGGCAAAAACAACAAAAAAAAATCTTAATTTTCTGGTCCGCTTGTTACGCCTAAAGCAGATCCATCAGAAAGTCATCTCCCCTGCTACGGGGTTATCTCTATTAAACGTTCACAGCGTGCAGGCTATTACCATTCAATTAACTGTGTTGTTCATTTAAACATACCACAGAGGATTGCTTACATGTTGTTTTATTTTCACTTTATTAGCTTAACTGCGTTCGATGGCACTGAAATGCATTACAAAAGAATTACCCTGTGTTTTTGGATACATGAAGAGTCGACTTAAATGTTTACCTGGTCGTTAGGGTCCATTTTGGTCATCATTCTTTCCTCCAAAAGATTAAAGGTCAGCACCTGCAGCACGTACAGCTGATGTGCCATTTCTGCTTTGATTGGTCGGTTTCCTCTGATGACGTGCTGGAACAGAACGAGCCGGTGTTTACAGCAAAGATTTGGCGTTGATGCAATTTGTGCATAAATGATATGTTATATTACATGGCCCCTTCAAGTATAAGTACATGGAACTGTAACAAGTTGCACTAATCTGCACATTCTGCAGTATCAAATATCAGCTGCAACTGAAGAAAAAGTAACTAAAGCAAAACTGGTGTAAAGTGAGATGCAGTTTTCATCCGTCAAACGTGCTCAGAACTGCAAGGTTTAGTTCTGGGAAAGCTCAGGTGCTGCAGGATGTTGGAGTGCTGCATTTTCCTCACTAACATTTGCATTTTGCAGCCGGTTCAGGCAGGCGTTTCTTAACAAATGCCAGAAGGAATCATTTTCAGAGCAGATTTTGGACTTGGTGCCATATCACATTTACCGGTTTCAAGTCACAGCTCTCCGAGGGAGGGAAGCTTTCCATATTCCAAATGCTCCCCAACTTTTAGTTCCAGGGATGAAACTATGGTCTCACAGTCACATGTTCTCATCGGTGGGCTGTAGGTTTTGATATAACCAGTTCTAAACAAAATACTTTAAAAGCATACTGTGTTTCTCAAAGCTCATCTTAAAGCTCAACAGCCGCAGAGGGATTTTTTTTTTCTGATGGGAAGCTGCAATATTTTCTTTCCCGCACTGATACTTACATTAAGGATGATGGACCGCAGGTGTTTCTGAGCCAAGGTGCTCGCCATTTCCTGCAGATGCAAACAAGTCAAAAAGCAAATCAAATAAGGTGATTTATAGCACACCAAAGCAGCACCACGGTAACTTCACTGAAGTCGACAGAGATAAAATGGAAATTTTTTTACCCTACAGCTAAATTTTCATCACTGATTTAAACCATTTGGTCTTCAAACCCTCTTCAAAAAAATCACATTTAACTTGATTCTGTCAGCAGAGTCTGCCTGCTGCTGCAGCAAGCTGTGATTCTGTCTTAATTTGAATGGATTATGCAACGGTTGGCCGTGACACAAAAAGAGCTACAGAGTGAGGAAGAAGAAAGGCTGTGGTGCGGCATGAGCTGCTGAGAGATGCGTACTCACAGTGAGGTGCTGCTCCAGTGGGTTAGTATACTCCTCCTACGAGTTGATGGCAGGGAGGAGGGACATGTGTGCGACAGTAATGGAAACAAAAAAAAGTGCAAACACATGGACCATGAGATACGGGCATACATCACCAGCACAGCATGCGAGGGAAGATGAATCATAGCAAATAGGAACATCAAACAGTCATAATACAGCTCACATGCTATACATTCATCATGGCTATGCATATTTTCATTTCAAGCCTTCGCATTTATCAAATGAAATCCACCTCTCATCTTCAGACTTCCTGCAGCGAGGGCCGAAGGACATACAGAAAAACTACATTGTAGAAATCCCTAAATCGATCTTTTAAAGAGAGACTCTAAACTAATTTAGTAAATGAGATGTTCTGGCTTGTAATTACAGTAATTCAACAGTAGAGTTGAACTCAGTTTGTGCTGTAGACCTCTCTGCTGTTTGTCACTCACTAAAACTGAACTAGGTCACCCTCTAGTGGCCAATTAAAGCATCYAAATACTAAGGCCAAAAGAGTAAACATCCTTTTGTTTTCTTCATCCTCTCTTATATCAAACCAAACGTCAAAACACTTAGCAACATTTTTCTATGTTCTCTTATCCATGAACATATTGCTTTAAGTTCAGTGTAAACAGATTTTATGAGGCAACCTCATCTTAAAAGAGAAAGCGTAAATATGWTTTCCTAAACATAGGCTTTGCCAGCAGAGTGATAAACATTTCAACATCTGCTGAAAGTGTTCAAGCTACAAAATATGCTAAAAGAAAATGTGATTTTTTTTAAAGTTGTGTACCTAAATTCTGACTTRTTTAAGTAGAAAGTTTCTGCTGATACAATTAGACTCTGTAGTTACTAACACAATGTTTCTTCCTCGAATATACTGTACATAAAGCAACATATTACTTGAACAGCAGTTCATTAACATGAGCTTAACTCCTCTTCTTCATCAATACATCACAGCTTGAACAGAAAGGATAATACAGAAACAAGACAGAGTAATAAACAGTACAGTGTGAAATGGGTTAGGGTTAAACATTAACGTGACAACAGAGYAGACAAAATAAATGCTATGACAGTCATAACAGACAAAAGGTCACTCCTTTAGAAGTTGTCAGTTGGTGCTATAAAAAGATATTTGCTTCTGACTGAAATAGCTGAGAATCTAATGTAAAAAACTACTAAAGAAAAAATTACCACATTAGATGTTTTCCAAATTCCTAACAGCTAGCTGTAGCTTGCAGCAGCTTGTTTGTCCAAGATACTGACTTTTAGCAGATAGATTGAACATAAACAGGAACAAAAAGTGTAAATTTGGTTTCTGCTGATTCATGTTTTATTTTGTCCTCTGTAACAGTGCTACAGCTAGCAATGATTTTGTTAGCAAATTTGCTTTTGAAAAGTAAGAAGTTCTTTGCTTCTGGTTGTGTAAATCAAGTGCTCAGTCAACAAAAAATGGGTTGCACCCTCAGCAGCTCCCCACTTCCTACACAAAACATTAAAGGAAGTATTTTTGACCATATCTCTATAGTGTCTACTAGAAGACAGAATCCACAACATGAGAGCTTGCAGACAGACTAGTTTAACAAGTTTACTGCTGGAAATATTAGCAGCCTAAGTGAACTAAAGTCTGCAGCTGTCTAACTCCAAACAAACACTTGTCTACTCTGCCTGAGAGTCGAACAGAACAGCAGTGCGCTGAATAGTAATGGCTTTCTTTAGAGTGTATTTAAGGTTAAAGTATTAGTATTCCAGTTAGATCCATCTATTATAGTATTCTGTCATCGTCTGTGCTGAGCGAGCAGTTCACTGACCTGCCGTCTGTCCTCTGGTGCCTTCAGGAAGAGAGCATTGATGAGAGCGATAGCATATGTCTGGATTTCCTGATTTGACCTGAGGAAATATCCAGAAGTGCAACAACCAGTTAGAAGCATCATGCTCCTCAAATACACCAATTTCTTTAAACTACAGACTAACAGCTACTCTACATACAGAGCAGGCTAATTTATCTTAGGTTTTTATCATTAATACAAATTCAGGGACAGTAGGAGGATTCTTAGAAGCTTCTCTTTTACACCAAAAGGCTGTTTATGCTTTACAATAACAAGAATTTGTTTTGATCTGACAAAAAAAGACCAAAACCTTTATTATATTTATCACATAAGTTCATGTCATTTCACATGAAATGACAAATATACAAAAAGTTACCACTTTATCATTATTCTTAACCTAAAGTTTTATCCACCGTACAGTTCAAATTACGTCAATACTAAACTAACTAACCTTAAGTAACCTAATCATTTCAAATAAGTCCATCAGGACGAGCAAAGCCTTCACAACATTTTCTCCTCCTTCCCTTCATAACGAGAGTTCAGGGAGTCCCTGTGCGTGTGTGTGTGCTCACACTTGCAGGTGCCCGATGAGCTGTCCCACGGTGATTTCCTGGGCGACCCGATGATAGAGGCTGTGGCTGTTCAGGACCATGCTCTCCAGGATGGCCAGGGAGCGCTGCAGGATGGACACGTCCACCATCGGCTGGTTCACATAGCCTGCAATCTGCACATTTRGTGGACCTCCAAGTGTTAGTGTACAACTAAAATATGGCTGCACAGAGCTTTAAAATAATGAATAAAAAGTCTAAATAAATCTGGAAACTTTAGTTCCAAAAGTTGTTTTTAATGACTGTCAAGGCTGCAGAGTTTATAGAGAAAATATATTTCAATAAAAACTGAAGGAGCTTTGGGTAATACAGGAAGTCACTGCACAGCGTCACCCACACACTTCCAGCTGTAGAGATGCAAGGACGGTCAAACAATAAAACAAAGTGAGTCGATTAAAAAGGAAAACCTTGAAATTCTAAACAAAAGTTATTTGTACAAAAAGAGTTTGTGTGAAACGTCAAAAAAAAATTTTGAACAGGAACCTGTTTGATGAAGGAGAGGGAGATAAGATCCCAGGACACAATGCCATGATCCATCAGTTCCAGGAAAGCAGTGAGAGTGAAGGCCAGCATCTCCCCGAAGCTAAAGGAGGAGAGTTCGACTTGGTACAGRCATTTTCACCAAGTTTATAATACAGTTTCTCACCATATCGTGGCTTRAAACTTAGAAATTCAAAGAGAGTCATTGCTTACTGGGTACCACTCTCTACAAGGCGAGCCAGMGTCGCGATGCCCTCCATGTTGATGAACTCTGCAGCAAACGTTGGGTCTGCAGACAGCTTAGCAAGCTCTTTCAGAGCCTCGAGGCGAGCATCGATACCATGAGACTGGATCCTCTCCAGGAGCTGACGAGCAGCACGAGCCTGTCAAAGACCAAACCCGTCACAATCTTAATACACTTCACTTTCTCTGAATCATTCCCAAATTTAACGCTACCTCTTCACAGACCAGAGCTAGTTCAGAAAAGTGACAAGTGGAGAACTTTAAGGGGGCATTTTGATGACTTAAAAACCAGGATCAACTTGTGGATTTTTTTTTCCTGGACTATCTCCTTTGTGAGTGCAGGTATCAAACAAAACAAAGCTACTGCAGAGACATTTAACCTACCCTATTTTTGCTTTTATGTCTCACTTATATTCRTTTATTCTCCTCTATATCTCATAATTTCTGTTAACCTATTTGGTCTTATTTGCAAACATGATGAAACATAAGTAAAACCACCCCAAACTCCATAAAAATGTGTATTTTTAACTTATTTTAAATACAGAGCTGAAAGAAATGTTCTTGTTTCGCCTGTGGCAGCAAAGAGAGAAATGATCATCTGAGCTTGATCCTATCTACAAAAAAAAGTGGTTTTACAGCATTTACAAAAAACAAACTGTGGTGACTCCACTTGTACTTAAGAATGTAACATCTGTAATTCAGAGGTTGACATTTCTGAACTCAAATTATCATTGTTTTAGCAGATGGGAATCATTTGCCACAAAAGCAGCTGAACAAGTGTGTGTTATCTGAATACTGCACAAATGACTGCACTTAAAATAATAACTATTCCCGATGGGAAAACGGGACGTTAACAGTTTTGCAACTTATAGTGAAATCATGATGAACGCCCCGCCACCCCCAACAGAACAGCCCCACCCCTCAAGGTCAGAGTATGTGATAAATGAATGAACGTCAGTACGTGTTCACATGCGACCAATTCACTGCAGCTGGTGGAGATGCTAAAGCCAATACATCATTCTGCCGAGGAACAGGAGCGCACACAGCATGTTTCAGTCTCTCTCTGTGAGACTTGCTGCTTCTGCTGCTTTACTTTTCAGATTAAACAATATTAACACACATATGTATATATTTGTATGTTGGTGTGTCTTTGTTTAACTTTTAAATGTTGCTTTCAAAACCATCACAATGTCCTTTCTGTGAGAGTAAATGTGAAAATTCCAATTTATGGACTTTCTTGTTGCCAAAAGTACTTGAACAATAAAAACTGTATGATTGGTCATAAAACAGGCCAACAAAAAAACAAAATCAACAGAATCAATGTAAAAATCTTAATTTCTTTTTTAAGATTTGATTTTTTATTGAATTCAATTCATTCAAAAATGTCGCAATCCACTTGGAATAAATCTGTGTTTTTATACCATGAGATTTTGGTTATTTAAGAAGCCCTGAAGAATTTGCAGCTGTGGGAAAAACTGCACACTTTGCAAAAAATAATCCAAGTTATAAAACTAAGGTGCTTTCCCTAGTGAGACACTGAGAGAGGTTTGAAAGAACTATCTATTTTGTATGTATCTAAATGCACTATTTAGAGAGCTAACTTGTTTATGGATTAATGRCATACATTTAACACTAACTGTACAGACAAAACATTTATATAAACACATCTAACTTACGGGGGAAATWGCTAATCGAAGGATGGTCCCATTTTTAATGTCACCTCGGCTCTGGAAAATAAAAAAGAAGTGGAGCTCAAGTTCAGTATTTATAAAGTCTTCAACACCAAATCAGAAATCAAATAYTGACTCAAACCTGTTCAGTGATATAGAGCTGAGGGCCGTCAGCGTAACGCAGCGCGAACTGCTCTGAGCCTGACAAAGACCAGCTGAGGACAGAGAAAAACACTGAAAATTAACACTGATTCACGATGACAGTCAGGAACAAAACGTGGGAATGTTTAACAAAGCAAACTCCAGCGTGCATGAACAAAAGGTTGCTCAAGTCAGACCGTTTCCCTCCAGCAAAAAAACATTTACACAAGTGATAAACCGTACAGATCACCATTCAGTGGGTGTTAACAGCAAAGCACAAATCAGTTTCTGCTTCAAATTTTAAAGAGAGGCAAGTGGGTAGATGCAGTCATGTAGAGAGATGGATGGCTCTGGAAAAACTGTGTAATACACACTGAACTTCAGAAATAAACAGGCTGTGTCTCAATTCAGGGGCTGGGTCCTCATGAGTGTGCATTTGTCGGCCGCATCGGCCCCGTGCGGAGGACTGTCCCAATTCAAAGAATCCTCATCATGCGGCTGACAAACTCTCAAAATCCGAGGATACATCCATGTATCCTCACCAGCCGAGGATATCCCAGGATTCAATGCGCGGGCAACAAAATAAACAGAGAAAGGAAGACGGTGGAGGTTTTACTTTTTTAACGAGTCTACGCAGTTTGGAAATTCACCACGGACCGAAGGATTTGTTTTTAAAAGTAAGTTTAGCAACTTGGCTGATGAAATTTATGCTGCAATAAGATGTTAAATAAAAACAACGCAACTATAAGTTACGAGAATAAAGTCATAATAATACGAGATTAAAGTCATACTATTATGAGAATAAAACCATAATGTTACAAGATTAAAGTAATAATATTGTGAGAATAAAGTCACAATATTGTAGCCTTTACATGAAAATGCATGCAATTACCACTGCATTAAAATGAGGAATGTTGAGCAACTTGTCAAGTTGTTTTTCTAGTATTGCTTAAAATAAAAAGTTGTTCTTTTAGCACATTAGCATCAAATTAACAGCAGCAGGACATGGAAATTGTGCAAACGTCTATATGATAAACTAAAGCCATTTTGTAATTTTTATTATTGGATGCACTGACAGATTGAGTCACGTGGTTAATTTAGATGAAATCATATTAATCTAAGCGTGATCCAGGTCATCACAGACTATTTTATAAACACAGACACATGGCTGTATGTGTGGGGAAAATAAGGAGGAAATGAATGGAAAATAGACACGTCATGTAGGATTATGACTTTTTATCCCATAATATTATGACTATGACTTTATTCTCATATTATGACTTTATTCTCATAATATTATGACTTTATTTTTGTAATAATAATTTTAAAAATCTGTGTGTGGCCCTAATACTCCGTCGTAGATACTGGAGCTAAACCCGAATGTTTTTGAGCAGCCTACCCGGCCCAGTGAGGAYGTGGCCCACGTGGCCCAGCTAGGCTGGGTCCTCATGAGGATCCAGCCCATGAACTCAGACACAGCCAAAGCGAAAAACAAACTGAAACTAAAAAATTACGGATGAAAACAATGAGTTAGAAGTATTATGTAAGATGTCATACTCAGTAATACACGGCTGTAAAAACAGTGAATAAATTCATAATAATGTTACAATTCTTTTTGCCAATATTAAAACCAAACTTATGTCATTTGTCTGGAAACTTTGAAAAATAAAATAAATTGTAATACTCACCCATCACATACTTCCCGAATTATAGAGGACAAAGGTCTCTTCTGCAAAGCAAAAAGGTAAACACTGAAAGACTGAAATAAAAAAATAATAACTTTTACCACTTATGTTGAGGTTTTTATTTATTTTGAAAATGATTGCAACAAGTGACATTTAGTCAATTTATCCATCACATTAGCATTAATAATGAAAGCTACTTTTCACTCCACATCACTAGTGCATTTTAAATTAAAAACAAGTTCAATGTGTGCATCATTTCTCTCCTTTAACACTCGGCTTTCACTGCCCATTAGTGAGTCGTTTCAGCATTCAAGTCACAAACTGGAAATGCGTTTTAGACGACAACACACCTGGTCCATCTCTATGAGCTGAGCGTTGGCACCGGGCCATTCAATGGCAACCTTCACAATGTCAGCTGGGGGAGGCATGGTGGGTTTATCGTTCACACTCTACAGGAAAAAAGAAAAGAAAATCTCTGCTGATAAGCATCAACAGAGATTTTTAGGATGTTAGCAGCATCTTATGGTTTGACTGGCACAATGCAGCTGCAGTATATCAAGGTAAAATGAAGGTGCACATTGATATGTTTGATTGAAATGACTGAGGTCTGGGCCATGATTCTCTAAAACCAGTGACCTGTTCTTAGAGGGCCACTACCCTCTATGTTCTACATGTTCCTCTGCTTCAACACACCTGATTTGAATGAACAGGTAATTGGGTGTTTCTGCAAAACTTGAAGACATGGTGAAGATTTCCTTAATTCTGGGAGATCAGAGATTGGCCGATACTTAGGTATGATTGGTGGAAAAGATCGGCTTCTCAGCTACCTCCACCACCTGCTTCGGATGTTACCATCCATTAAATGGAAGTTATTAGCTGTTATCAGTCCCATAGAATTGCTTCACACTGGCTTCAGACTGTCCCAGCTGTGCCGCCTAGTGGGTTCTCCGTGCCATAGAATGGCTTCAGACTGTCAACTGGTTAGTATGAGGCATAAAACCACTAAGGTTTTTTTTTATGAAATCTGGTTAATATGAGGCATAAAACCACTAAGGTTTTTTTTTATGTAATCTGGTTAATATGAGGCATAAAACCACTAAGGTTTTTTTTATGAAACATGGTTAATTAACCAGGTTGCATAAAAAAACCTTAGTGGTTTTATGCCTCATATTAATATGAGGCATAAAACCACAAGGTTAGTGTGGTGAATTTTCATGTATGGCCCTTTAAGGCGAGAGCGAGCGTCAAGCACGCGCACGCTTCTCTCAGGGCAGGGAGTCAGAGTAACATCTTAGCTGTGTGGACGCTTTTCTTTGTCTCTCGTAAATAAACGATGTCCAAAGCTGAGGAAATCGCCTCTTCGTCATTCAGTTTTGTTAGCCTAGAGTTCTATTGACATGTGACAAGTCTTCAGGAGAAAGTCCACTGGTTTTCATCGACCCAGAAACAAGCAGCAGCCAGCCGAACCAGCCGGCCCAGATCAGCCCAAAGGCAGCAGCAGACGGGAGCAGACAAAGAGAGACCAAGCAGAGTCCAGCAGCTGACGTAGCCCAGCCGAACCGAGCAGAAACGGAACCAGAGACCAGGCAGAGACACTACATTAGTTTTAGAGGAAATGACATGGGCTACGATAAAGTAGACCGGATTCTGGCGGTAGCAGAATGTTGCATTCCAACATATATGGCACTGGTAACCCACTAGGGGGCACTGTCAGGACAGTCTGAAGCCATTCTATGGGACTGATAACCACTAATAATGTCCATTCAATGGACTGATAACATCCAAACCAGCTGCCTCCACAAAGGTCTGAAAATCAGCCTCTGTCCCCTTTTTCTCTGCTGTGAGCACTAACAAATGTCCAGTTAAAACAAGTTTGTATTGTTTTAAGAGTAGTGTTCAACGTTTTTCAATAAAATAAGATTGGAACATTGAAGTTGCATTTTGACATTATAACAACTAACCGTTTCAGATATTTAAGAAATTGGTATTGGCCAAAGTTGGAATCAGCAGTTCAGACTTTTTAAAGATCGGTGATCGGCCAGAAAACTGCAATCAGTGCACCCCTAATGGTAAAAATATAAATGGCATTCCCAGAGTTGTTATGAAACAGTTCCATGTTTCTAAAATCATAATAATCCTTCGATATCAACTCAATTTTTTAATACAATGAATTTTTGAAATCCTTAACCATGTTGGAGAACTGGTCATTCTGGTTTAAAACAAACAAAGAATGCAAATAATCCACAAAGCGAATATTTTTAACAAACTTAGTTTTAATAAAAGAAAATAATTATATGTGTATACTACCAGCTTTCCATGAATAGTGTACTACCTTCTCAGTGTGTAAAAATTTTCAAAAAACAAAAAATAAATAAAAAACAATAATAAAAAAGAAAATAATTACACATGTTTTTATGAAATATACCAGTAAATATTTAGATTAAAGATCAAATGCAATAAAATACATCAAAATATTAAACGTGTCACAGAAAATTTCAGGTGGCTTATCTTTTCAAAATAAGTCAACCAGTGTAAGATGGTTTAATTCACAATAAATAACATGAGCTAAAAGAGATGAGGGGGAAAAAGAGATTCATCTTTAATACAGTATATACCATCTGGTAATTATAGAACCAGGTGACTTTTCAATGTTTTGCTTTTTCATAATGTTGGTATAGATCCAAAAACTGAGCAGGGATGATTACTAAACAGAACAACATAGACCAGCTATTTGCTGCAGTGATTTGACTTTGATTTAGCGTTTACATGCAGCAAACTATTCCAAATTACATYCATAAAATTAGCAAAACCATGTATCCTGACGACTGATTTGGGTCTCACATTTAAACACTGACAAGATTGCCTAGGCTTAACAATTTCTTTCACAATCTGCAGGCTTGTTTTTAGTTCAAAAGAAGAGAAGAAAAAAAAAACACAGAAGGGACCAGTTTTTGGCATCAAGAGATTTCTCGTCTTCCTAACATGAAGAGAGCATAAAAACAAGGCTGACAGGTTTGGCTGACGATTTGAAGACTGTGTTTTGGAGAAACAAAATGAAGACACTGCCATTCTCCAAATGGCTGTTTGGATTCAGCTTGCTGTTAAGTATTTAAAAAAACAACAACACTTTGTTCAGCTTAACTCTTCTCATTTGAGGAGGATGTTTACTAGTCTTATGCTGGATTTGAGRAAACGCTGAATGAAAAAAGCCCAAAGCGAACATTAGTGTTTCTTTGAGAACCCTTAGTGCTGCAGTACCCTTGAAGATGGCACCACGTGTTTCCAGAAATCTGAATGTTTGTGTTCTATAAATAGTTCACCTGTGTGTTTACACTAGGGCTGCACGATATTAGGAAAACCTGCGATGTGCGATAACAGTGCTTAATATTGCGATGACAATATGACTTGCGATAAATGAACAAATACGTATGTACAGTATATGTACTGTTGATATCTTTCTGCTCTGGGTTCAAAGCCCAAAAAACAGCATCAAAAATAATCATTTCCACTCCAGCCTGATTTTTTTTTTAGTTGACCAAATACATAAAGGGCTCTATTTGATTGGTGAAAYATTTCAAGCTTCCATCTGAATGACAAAATGCATAAATGCTAATTTTTGAGTCAATCACTTATTGCAGTTTATGCAGTTGTTGCGATATGCATACTGCACACAGTCTATTATCGTGATGACGATAAATTTTCAATATATTTTGCAGCCCTGGTTTACACCAACAAAAGCTGTGGTGTCTGATTAATTTGGTCTACAAAAACTACATATTTGACATGTTAGAATCTGAATTTCAGGGACAATTTTCACTCAGTGCAGTTAGGGTTGGGCATAATCGTATCGTGTGCAATTAATCATCAGAAAAACACTAATCGATTACTTTTTGGCACTTGACGATTAATACGATTAATGCCACCAGGCAGAGTCCGCTCGCTGCTCCTCTCTGCTTCAAACATGTTGAACATTAAAAAAAAGGTTCTGTCATTTATTTATCTGTCAACACAATTTAAAATTTTATGTATAGACGAAGTCTGTAATTTTGACACAATTTGGAACAGATTTGTATGAACAGCAAATCTTTCCCACTAAATTRGTCATGTGACTAGGATATAAGGGTGTCCAGGGACTTCGGGGCATTAATCGTCAAATTAATCGTTATCGGCTAAATACCACAATTAATCATGATTAATTTTTTTGCCAATATTGCCCAACCCTAAGTGCAGTTCAACTGCCAGGGAAAAAAAAATCCTGTCAGACTYTAAACTGAGGTCCATCAGTTTTCTGTAACAAGGTTTTTTAAACCCCACTTCAAAATGTCTGAACAACTTTTGTACCTTGAATCAACTCTGATTATGATCAAACCAAATTATCACAACCTGAAATAAATGGATCATGTACGTTACATTTTTGACACTCTTCAAGCATTGGTCCAAAGACACTTGATGATGATGATGATGATTACACAAAAATAATTGTTTTGTTTGTCTCTATGTGACCCTGTAATGGACTTGCCATCTGTCCAGGGTGCACCCCGCCTCTCGCACAGTGACTGCTGGAATTAGGCACCAGCTCCCCACGACCCAGAAARAACAAGCAGGTAAATAAAACAAATTTATGAATTTTAATCACACAAACATGATAGTCACAAGCGTTTATGATGTTCTAATCACCTTTGATTTACTTGATCTTTTTTAGTAAATTAATTTAATTCACAATAGGAGATGAAATGAGGTTTCAAAACTGTGCAAACGTTGGTCAGCTTAGATCGGATCATGGCATTCAGACCCGTGGACCTGCAAGAGTCCCCTGCTCTGATGGAACAGATGTAGACTGTCAATCACCCTGCTGCACAAGATGACAGGCTGGAGACCTCCTGTCTTCTTGCCTCCCCTCAAATTAACAACAAATTTGATTTGTCATGTGTGAGAATGACCACAAACAGCTTGAAGGTCTGTGCTGTTGATAAAGTGGAAAATGTGCACAGATATCAAAACCCTCCCTGCATCAGGAGACCCTGCTGAAGGGAGAGCAGCCTGGATAACCACGCTGACAATATTCTGCATGTTATAATGTGAAATAATACTACATTCATTCTGTGATATGGTATTAATAATGCATATAAAGATATTTGTAAGCAGATTAGATCTTTCCACAACCACTAACGACTCTGCCTCCTGTGGAACCTGAAAAATGTAACAACTCTCCACAACCCTGAACAGAAACAAACACGACTAAAGAAAAATGGAGGCTTTAAAATTATGAGAACATTTTAATGTGTAAAAAAAAGTGAAGAGGTGGTGGGTCATAAATAAGAGAACACTCCAGCYTCAGCTGAAGCTTATAGGCCTGATATGTAGAGCTGTGAGATAAAACACACTTATTTTCCTCACACTTTCTATGGACAGCCATGTGTCTGTGTTTATAAAGCAGTCCTCGATGACTTGGGTAACTGTTAGATTAATATGCTTCATCCAAACTAGCCATGTGCCGACTAAATCTGTCAATGCATGCTTCAGATTATCATGAAGTTGTATGCACAAATTCCAAGTCCTGTTACTGATAGTTTGATGCTGATGTGCTAAAAGATTGACTTTTTTTAAGGCAATGCAAAAGAACAACTTGACAAGTTGCTCAACACTCCTCATTTTAATGCAGTGATAACTGCATGCTTTCTCATGTAAAGGCTAGAATATTGAGACTTTATTCTCAAAATATGACTTTTTTCTCATAATATTGTGACTTTAATCTCATTATATTATGATTTTATTCTCACAATATTATAACTTTAATCTCGTAATGTTAAGACTTTATTCTCATCACATTATGACTTTAATCTAGCAATATTATGACTTTATTCTCATAATATTACGACTATAATCTTGTAATATTCTGACTTTATTCTCGTAATATTATGGCTTTAATCTCGTAATGTTATGACTTTATTCTCATCGTATTATCACTTTAATCTCATAATATTACGACTTTATTCTCATAATGAATTTATTCTCGTAATATTATGACTTTAATCTAGCTATATTATTTTATTCTCATAATACAGTATTATGACTTTAATCTCGTAATATTACGACTTTTATTCTCACCATATTATGACTTTAATCTCGTAATATTATGACTTTATTCTCAAATGTCTTTAATCTCGTAATATTACAACTTTATTCTCATATTATGACTTTAATCTCGTAATGTTACAACTTTATTCTCATATTATAACTTTAATCTCGTAATGTTACAACTTTATTCTCATATTATAACTTTAATCTCGTAATGTTACAACTTTATTTTCATAAATTATTACGTTAATCTCGTAATATTACACCTTTATTCTCGTCATATTATGACTTTAATCTCATAATATTACGACTTTATTCTCAAATTATGACTTTAATCTTGTAATGTTATGACTTTATTCTCATGTCTTTAATCTCGTAATGTTACTTTATTTTCATAAATTATTACGTTAATCTCGTAATATTACGCCTTTATTCTCGTCATATTATGACTTTAATCTCGTAATATTACGACTTTATTCTCATATTATGACTTTAATCTCGTAATGTTATGACTTTATTCTCATGTCTTTAATCTCGTAATGTTACTTTATTTTCATAAATTATTACTTTAATCTCGTAATATTTCGCCTTTTTTCTCATCATATTGTGACTCTAATCTCGTAATATTACGACTTTATTCTCATATTATGACTTTAATCTCGCAATGTTACGACTTTATTCACATAACATAATGACTTTATTCTCGTAATTTCAAAAAATAAAAATCTCGTTGTGTGGTCTTAATACTCAGTCGTAAAAAAAAAAAAAAGGCATGGTCAGCCAGGTGTAGTCAGGTGTGTCTGCTGGGACTTCGTGGACAAAAGTCCACGCTCTGCTGCACGTCAAAATGTCTTCTGCTGCCTTCGTTCCCACGGCGCTGGTAGCAGCCATGCTGATGACCGTAACAAACAGCGGTGATGGGCACCTTTTTATCATCCCGCTCCCTGTCATCTGACTGGACTCAGCGCTCCAGCACGAGGAGGTTTTAATTCAAGCCGGTTCACATTAAATCTGGCTGCACGCGCTGTCGCGGTATTTTAGCAACAACTAAAGGACTGCCTGACTGAAAAGAAATCCAACAGCGTGGCCTCAACTCAAAAGACTTGTTCTGTGTCCCCCACCAGCAGCAGCAGCAGCTGCTTTTCAWCACGACCCGGATGTTTCTGACGCCATTTTAACACTTTTTTTTTTTTAAAGTGGCGAGGGGGATCTCCCCTCCAGCTTACTGGGTTTTAAAAACATCTAATAAAAACAGCGGAGAGCGTCTAACTTTCATCACGGCTGGGACCACAAGTTAAACACGCAGCGCCTCCTCTGGTCACACGACGCTCATTAATGCACGCTGCTGCTGCTGCTGCTGCTGCTGCTGTGTGCAGGGAACAGAGCAGCTCAGATCGTTTACACTTAAAACGGTTTTAACTAAATTAATTTACACTATCGCTCTGCAGCTGATGTCGCGCGTTCATAAAATGCTTCATTCTTCTGAAGCCGCTCCAGCTAAGTTGTGAAATGTTTTTTTAAATACGAGTGAGTGGGCTGAACTGAATCGATGGGAGCCGAAAATAAAAGCTGACTGATGCTGCAAAGGCTGCTTTTACCTCTTATATATGGAGGAATCAATGATAACTCCTTCAGTGCCGAATATTCACACAGACCCCGGCGCAGCCATATTAGCTTTTCTTTGTGTAGAAGTGCTAATTAAAGACAAACTGTTACAATTAGGAGCAGTGTTATTCCTCAAAAGASGGCTCAGTCATCCATTTCTGCCTGTCCCTGTCTGCTCCTCCATTGCAGACAGGATACAGCTGGTTTCYCGGAGGCAGATGATGCTTTTAAATTCACCATGTGGGGTTTTATTTTTATTTTTTTATTAAAGCTCACAAACTCCGGCTAATGTCATTATTAGGTGCTACTTACCCCGTATCCGAGCCATCCACAGCCGTCTCATGATCTCCCTCCTCCTCGCTCTGAAGCGAGCGACTTGTGGAAAAGGAGGCACGACTCCACGCCTTGTAGGCGGGACGCGGTGGAAAATGTCACCGTCTGCAAAGCTTCTCCTGTGTGGGGGCTCCGCTGGTCTGTACTGAACTACACAGCACTAAGTTTAAACAAGTCTATATGCAATGACAGGAAACATCATGGCTGATTTTAGTCTGCAAGTTCACAAGATAACAGATCTAAAAATAAAAAAGACATTTTATGTGCTTGTTTTATTGGGAAAAAAAAACATCAAAACCGAAGCTGAAATTGACAAAAACCATAGCCAAACGTTGAGATTACCACAAATGCAGCTACAAACTAAAGTGCATGCGTCAAACTCAAGGCCTGTGGGCCAAATCTGGATCTCATTASCATTTTATGCAGGCCCAAATCATTTCTCTTTTGACACTGGTTTCAGTACTGTCTTTACTTGACAGTAGTTTACTTCAATTCTGCATTCCCTTCCGTTTTCAACGTCAAATATTGGATTTTTTTTTATCAATTTGATGTATTTTGACCAAATGTATCTTTAAAGGTTCTTAAAGAAACAGAGGCCAATTTTAATGCCTTTATAGGATACAATGCAAAGTCAAATTTGTTTGCAGCATTTTCAAAACAAATGAAGGTAACAGTTACTTGACTGGTGTAGAATTGAACTATGTGCCTGGAAAATACATATAATTATAT